AGACAGAGACAGAGAGACAGATAGACAGACAGAGACAGAGAGAGAGAAAACATAAAACATACTCTCATGCCATATAATGTACACTTCCAGAACATGAGCTGAGTCTGAACGAAAGGAAGTACGTCATCCTGCAAGCGCTGGGCGGGGCTAGTGACAGCCTGGACCAATTAGATTCGAGAATCCAGAGAGGGCGTGGCCTAATCAAGTCCCTGCAGCCACTGCTTCAACAGTTGTTTGAGGAGAGACAGGTATAGTCCACAGTATACATTTGTATATAATGATATACACAAGGAGAAAGTAACAAAGAGACATGTTTAAAATCTCACCCCCCCTACTTTTCTTTCTCCGCCCCCTCTCTCTCCCTCCCTCTCCATCTTTACCTCTCTCCCTCTCTCTCTCTCCCTCTCCCTCTCTCTCTCCCTCTCTCTCTACCTCTCTCTCTCTCTCTCTCTCTCTCTCTTCCTCTACCTCTCTCTCTCCCTTTCTCTCCCCCTCCTTCTCTCTCCCTCTACCCACCCCTCTCTGTGTGGATTGTCCACGAGCTTCTTCTTAGACAACTGTCTTGTTGTGGGAAACAAACTGTAATAAGATCACTTACTTTACTTTGTACTTTTATCCGCCGCTTATTATTTATACCCTTTTGGGTGTCGCTGGAAGAAAGAGACGTCTCTCTGCCACCTGCCGGAGAGCTTGGGTCTGGGGGGTGCCACGAGTTGTTAGTGTTATAAGAACACAGCTTCCATTTGGTCGCTTTTAAGGACAAGCGGGCTAACCCAGATTTCGGGGGTCTCCAGAACTCTTGACCTGCAACAAAAGTGGGCATTGCCCTACCTATAGTAGAAGTTTGGTTTCATTGGTGTGTATATTTGTTTGGTTACAGAGAAAACTCTCCTTGTCTTTTAAAGAAACTAAACAAGGGGCAAAAACTTTCCCTTCGATTTTCTCAAAACAACGTTTTTCGGGATAGCCCCCTTGTGCTTAAAAATGGCCTATTATCCTCGTCTGTATGCACAGGCCATGTACCAATGAGCCCTCTGTCTACGCACTGTGTATCTCTAAGACACCCCAGTCCACAGATATTGATTCCTTAATAGCTCCGGTCAATGTCACTCGAAGGCCTGCTGCAGATAGTAAAATTTGCATATAGAGCAGCCTTCGTGAAAAAAACTCCTCAAAACAAAAAGACTCCCCCCCCCCCCCCAAAAAAAAAAAGAGGAAAAAAACCACAGCCGGCAAACATAGCAACCCCTCCCCCAAAAGAAAGAAACAAACCAGAAAACCAAACCTAGTAATCTCCGTTCCCGCAACGAAACAAACAAACAGACTAACAAACAAACAACAAACAAAACAAAAGGATATATAAGAAAGAAAACCAAACAGGATACATCTCCTCAATGTTCCCCTGAGACAAGACCAGTCGTATCGTAGAGACAAATCTATTTTTCAAGTAAAAGGTTTCAGATAACGTACAAAATGTATATCATTCCCTTTCTTGATACATGATACATGTAATAGATCCTGGGAGAGTCCAAAGTCAACGTTCCTCCTTGCTTTGTCTTGTCGATGAGTCTGATATCCTTCAAGGGATTATGTTGGGACTATCTTCAAGGGATTATGTTGGGACCCCCCCTCCCCCAACCAAACACTAAAAAAGAAGAAAGAACAAAAACTAAATGTACTTCCACTACTGTACTCACACCCACACACACACACACACACACACACACACACACACACACACACACACACACACACACACACACACACACACACACACACACACACACATATATATATATATATATATATATATATATATATATATATATACACACACACACACACACACACACACACACACACACACATACATATATATATATATATATATATATATATATATATATATATATATATATATATAAATCTTAGATGGCAATGTCTAAGACAACCGACTACGGTACCTTTCTCCTCGAAAAAGGGAGACTATCTGTCCTGAACAGTTTCGACTGTGCAGTTCCGTACCTGTATGCGTTTATCATGGCCTCCTCTCTCTGCTTCCTCCAGTCGCCCTCAGAGACCGGGTCGGCTCGGAAATGTTGGGTGAAGACCCTAGTCACGCCCTGACTTGCACTGTACAGATCCACATTCGCCACAGCTTTTTCCACCTGGTGGTTACATGAAGAGACGAAGTCATTCTTACTCTTACTCGATTGCTTGTACCGGACACACCTCCCTGACACATAAAAACCTCCAGGGAGAGGAGAAACCGTTCTGTGTCGATCGGATGTCACGGAGATTTCACCAATAGACACAATATATCTAACGGAACGTCCGAACTTTGGAGAGACCCGAAGGAAGTATTTTAAATACACAAAATTACAAGATCTATAGCCGTGCTGTGAGTAGTTGAGAATGAAACCAATTTGTGTTTCGTGAGCTCATATGACCTTATGCAGTAGCTAGCGCCGTGAAAGTCTTATAAAATCAACTAACATAATGTGGTTACAATTCTTCAAGGTGACGCACAGGGAGGACGAAGAAGGGGCCCACAGAAGAAGAGATGAGAGAATGGGCAGCCATGGAGCTGCGGGACACACTGAGGAAGCAGAGAGCCGAGAGGAGTGTAGAAGATGTGTTGTCACCTGTCAGAGGCGACCCAACGAACGGTAAATCTACGAGAGCAGAAGGAGGTTACATACTTGTAGTCATCGACAGATTGTACGTTTTTAAGTGGGTTATGTTTGACAGTTTTTGTTGTTGTTTTGTTTTTTGTTTTTTGCTTTTTTTTTTTTTTACCTGTGAAGACACATCTTTAAAACTTCCACCGCCAGGCTTACTTATCAAGGGCTCAAGACAATCATAATAGATCATCTTTTCTTCCTTTTGTTTCCTTGTGTTAAAC